ATCCGCGTCGTGAGTTTCGTGGGCGACTGCCCCGTGTACTGCTCTCCAGAAGCTGCCTCTTCTGGAAGAAGAACGGACATCTTCTTGAGGCGGTCAATCTCGACAGCATCGGCTATCTCGTCGAGAGAGGCTAGCTCGTCTGTCGAAAGACAAGGCTCAATCTCCGACGTCCTTGGGAAGCACAGCTCAGGCAACAACTCTGAGTCGTCCGTTTGATCATCAAGAAAACTCTCATCATAATCTTCCAGCTCTTCAAGAGTGTCACCATCGAAAGTCAGAGGCACGCTCTCATCTTCATGCTCATAGCTCACTTGCATCACGTGAGCAACGCAAGGTGTTTCGTCACCAGAAATCACCAAGACTTCATCGGCACAGCTGTCATCAACCACACAGCCCGCTGTTGTTACCAAGGAGATCTGCCCTTCACCGGCCATATCATGATCACCTTCCTCCGGCAATGCAACCTCAGTGGTCCGAGCAGCCTTTGCAGGACGAGGGTTCTCGCTTAGACCAAGATTGTCTTCAACAACAACAGGAGCTGGCGTGCCAGCTGTCCCCCGCCTCGGCTGAGGCGCTTGAATCATCTTGTTGCATTGCTGCACTGGTCACATGCTTTGACACAGAAGCACTCGGGGACTTGGCACTCTGGGAGCTGGGGGAGAATGATGGGCTATATTCAGGATTCGTGATTGCTGGCGAATCGGTGCCTGCGGCTTGCGACGGTGAGCGGACCTCATCCTGCCTGGGAGCCGAAGGGATGTCAGGCGGCACCATGCCATCATGTGCCGGAACCGGCATCGCCACAGGAGGGGCTGGCTTCTTCTTTCCCAGCACAAGCTTGCCACCAATCGAGGACAGCCCATGTTCCCAAACACACACATCAAAGCTTGCAGCAAGATCCGAGTCGAAACCGTCGCCAAACCTTCGCACGGAGCGTGTCACAAACACTCCACCTGGCATGCCAACGATGTGGGCGTCGCTGCCAGTGGCCTTGCCAAGCCAAATGCCCTGACGCCATCGTGCCGAAGACTTGCCGCTAGGGCGTAAATACCCAAGCACTTTCTCACCGAATCGGCATATGGCTCCAGAGTAAACTGAATCAGTGACGGCCTCATAGGGATTGTCCCGCTGTTTGAACCAAAAGGCGACGGCTCTAGGGCGGCAGGGTTTAAGGCCTGAGGGGCAACTACAAGTGTAAAGACGGCACAAAGCAACTGAGGCAACTGACATGTTACATGTGATGCAATCGCTCGGTCACAACAAGAACCCTCTTTTCCTGGATGTGTGTCGAGACAGTCGTGACAGGTTCGCCATCTTCAAGCCTACAGGCAAGCAGGGAGCACCGAGGCTCTTACGGCCTACTGAAGGCTGCCGGTGCAGGCAGTTCGACTGCCCCCCCTTTAGAAGAACCCGCTGCGACGGAAGCCCGACACATTCACCAACTAGTTTTGTCCAAAAGCTTCTGTCTCTTCGAGGTCTTTGGTTCAACCCTCTTCAAGCTGAGTAAGCGATCCTTTTCGGCAACGAAATCGGCATGTGATTGGTGCAGCATATGAAACAACTCAAGCGGGATATCGGCCAACTTAAGGGGAACCCTAAGGCTAGGAGCAAAATTTTCAAAACGAAGGTTCGTGAGATCATCTGCGTCCTGATTTTCCTCGCGCGGTCGCCAGGTCAGCCGGCATACCTTGTTGGCCTTCCTTGGAGAGACTGCCATCTGCATGTGCAGCCCTTGCACCGGCCACTTATTACTGATCCCCTTTGACAAAACAGCAGGTGTAGCAGAATTGTCTGTCCTGGCGTGAACCTGCAAGCGAAGCGAGTCCCTTCCCCCTGTTGGCACAAGGTGTCGGAACGCCACAAGGCCCGCGTAAGACGCGAGAAGCTCAGCAGTAGTCGAAGCCCATTCAGAAGAGTGCCCTTCCTTAAACAGGGCTGGCAGCTCAGCTGGTGAAATTTCCAGCGCGAACCACGGAGCTTGCTGAGTGTTTAGCCCATGTTCCAGCGACCATCCACCCAGCACGACCCGGCCGGTCTCGCACTTGGCATCTGTCCTGAAAGCCTGCCGGTCACAAGAAGGCCAGCTCATGTGCACTGTGTCCAGGCGTGCGCCATTCATGAACTGCCAGCGATAAAACCGCAACACGTGGATTACCATCTCTGGTGCAGTAGCAGCTGTGCTACGGTTGAGCGCGGCACTCCAAGCAAAGAGCGGTGCCAAGAAAGGTTTCAACCACGCAAGCAAACGGGTCACGAAATTCAACCGCCCAATGAATTCGGTGAGCTGACGCCCGGTCACCATCCATTGTGCTTGTTCAGCTTGGTTGATCCATTCAATGATCCAAGTTGCTCGTTTCTCTGAGATGCCTGCAGACCAAGTGTAGTAGCAAAGATGATACCCGATGTAATCAACATTCACACCCCCTTTAAACTCATGGAAAGAAAAAGGTGTGCCCATGATTTCCAACGCGAGGAAAAGAATCCAAAGGGTTTCAAACTTGTCACTGCCATACACCACCGCGTGAAGGTCGTCGTCAACGTACACAAGCATGTAAAACTTGTCCGAGTGCAACACACGAAAGGCCCACCGCCCTACTGCGCCAAATAGGCGCGTCCAGTAGTAGGCGGCGGAACTCACGCCAAACGTCCCAACCTTGTTGAGCCATAAGACGCGCGAAGCGCTGGATGACTTGCATGCCAAACGTGGCCAGTCGCATTCTCGCACCTTTACGTTGCGATGCGCGTGGCTGATGTCTGCACATAGAGAAAAAAGGCGCCTCCTTGCTTTCTTTCACCCTCGAAGCAACCTCTTGCAAGTCCTCCGGTCCAGGGACCTGTAACTTGTCCAAGATGACAATACTGTTGTTCAAGTTGATGCCGCATGTTCCGTCATGCAACGGTCTGACATCACCATTAGCTTTAGTCACCGCACCCATCGCAGCGATGAGCACGGCCTCGGAGCCGTACTTCCGCCGAGAATCTGGTTCAGTAGTACACAACATCATTCCGGCCTGTTCGTCCTGTCTGAACTTTTCTTCAAGCTGTGCTGCATTCAGCTCCGCCGAGCGATAATTGACCATTGAAGGGTCAAAGTCGCTTTCGTCGAGTTTCCTGAAGTGAGTGCGCTTTGGGAAGACCTGAGGCGTTCTGGCAATGGGCTTGTCCCACCCCAGAGGTACCCCTTCAGCGAAACTTTCGTTGCCTTGATCAAGTATCTCGTAGTCCGGGTCACCCAAGATCTTAAGTGACTGCGAAAGCATATGCAGCATGAAGGGCTGCCCATCAGGTTTGCACAAAGCCTGCTCAGGATCAGGTAAAGTCGCAGCCATCCGAGCCCTCACATCATTGATCAGCTTTTCGCTGAATGGTGACTTGATCAGACGGCCTGTTGCAAGAGCGAAGGCAGCCTTCCTCAGATCAGGAATAGCTTGGTGTACTGCCTCTGCAAGAACCTTTCGAATGTTACCCGCATGATCCCATTCTTCAGTGCTTGCCAAAGCACTCCTGGCCGTTTGGCCCGAGGTCCGTGCGCGG